TACAAAGCTGAAGCTCTGTGGGATCAGGGCTTTCTTGCTGGGAAGAGTTTCAATGACAAATGCTTAGTAAGCACAGGGCTTCTTGGGCAAGCTCCGGCAGCTTGTGCATTTCAGGGCGATCGCTTCCATTTCCTCTACCCTGAGACGTACGGACATAAAGTTGTGCAAAATAATGTCCTTTTGTTATCTTTTTTTTTTTTTTTTAAAAAAAAGATTTATTTATTTATTGGAAAGTCAGATATACAGAGAGGAGGAGAGACAGAGAGGAAGATCTTCCCTCTGATGATTCACTCCCCAAGTGAGTGCAACGGCTGATGCTATGCCGATCCAAAGCCAGGATCCAGAAACTTCTTCCCAGTTTCCTACGCGGGTGCAGGGTCCCAAAACTTTGGGTTGTCCTCCACTGCTTTCCCAGGCCACAAGCAGGAAGCTGGGTGGGAAGTGGAGCTGCCAGGATTAGAACTGGAGCCCATATGGGATCCTGGGGCGTTAAAGGTGAGGACTTTAGCCGCTAGGCCACACCGCCGGGCCCTATCCTTATGATATCTGTATGTTTAGTTACTACTGAACTCCTACTTCAATGTTGGTATTGGCAATTTACATCTTATATCTCAGGGTAACAAGTCTGGCTAGAAGTTTATTAATGTGTCACTCTTGTTATTTCACTGATTTGCTCCATTGTGTTTATTTTATTAATTGCTATTATCATTTCTCCCTTTTTGGTCACTTTCCTTTTGCTTTTTTTTTTTTAACACTGTGAGATGGAATTGTGGGTAATCAAACGTACACATTTCTTCTTTTGTAATATATGCATTCAATATCTTCAAAGTGCCTCTCAGCACCACTTCCGGGGCAGTTCGTATAATTTGATATGTTCCGTTTTTGCTTTTCCTTCCATTTGAAATATCTTCTTTCCTTTGTGATTTCTTTCCGTTCTTTCAGGCCGGCTGCTGTTTAGACAGGGGTTTCACCAGCTATGTTCCTCACTACCAAGTGGATGTATCTTCTCCTGTTGGATGGAGTTTTTCATAAATGCCAAGAGTGTCAAATCGGAGGGTTGTCCGCATCTTATGCATCCTGATCAAGTTTTCAATTTCTTCATGATATTAGTACTGCGTGGAACTCTCCCGTAGTATGTCCATGTCAGTTTCTTTCTTTTAAGCTCTACCAGCTTCTGCTCTGTGTATGTTGGAGCCCTGCTATTAGCTGCATGCACACTTAGGATTTTCATGTCTTGGGGTGAACAGAGCCCTTTATTGTTATAAAATGTCCTTCTTTGCAATAATATCCCTTTTCCTGAATATTTTAATATCACCACTCCAGCTTTCTCGTGACTACCATTAGCATACTGTATCTTTGCTAACTTTTAATTTTTACCCTATCACTTTATATATAAAGATAGTATTTTTGTTTTCCATATTATATTTATGCTTTGATTTGAAAGACAGAGAGAGACTGACAAAGACCTTGCATCTGTTGATTCACTCCCCCCCCCCGCCCCACCTACCCAAATGCCTGTAATAGCCAGGACCTGGCCAGGCAGAAGCCAGATTCCAGAACTCACTCCAGGTCTCCCAGGTGGGCGGTAGGGTCCTTGGGTGAACCATCACTGGCTGCCTCCCAGGAAGTTGGAACTGGGAGTAGAGCCAAGCCAAGCATTCTGGCATGGGATGAGGGTATCCCAAATGGCACCATAACTGGCAGCCTAAAGGCCTGTCCTTCCTCTGTCCCCTGCATCTCTGTAAAACCTGAGGCAGCACACACTAAGGGAGCATGTCCAAATCTGACATTGAACTTCCCTAAGTTATTGCGTAGTCTCTCTTTCTCTCATACACACACACACACAAACACACTCACACATCCTAATTCTAACCCTTGGAACTAACTCAGTTCTAAGTCTCTGTCAACGTTGATCATTTCAAAATGTCAAGTCATTGTGGTCTTTGTGACACATTGCTCATTATACCTCCTCCGGATCACAGACTGAAGTGTGTTTTTCTTGCTCACAGACCCAAAATGTCTGAAAGCCACTGTTCTAGATTATCATTCTTGGGGTCTGCATCGTGGCACAGCAAGTGATGCCACTGCTTGCAATGCCCAACTACACTTCTGATCTGGCTTCCTGCTGACATGCTTCGGAAAGCAGCAGGTGCCAGCCCAAACCCTTGGGCCCCTACCACCTATGTGAGAGATCCAGATGGAATTTCCGGCTCCTGCTTTCAGCCTGGCCCAGCTCTAGTCATTGTGCAAGCAAGGAATGAACCAGGAGAGGGAAGATCCTCTTTCCATCCCTCCCTTTCTGTGTGATTCTGTCTTTCAGATCATCCTTCAGAAATGTGAAGGCAAGCTACATTTCCTAACCAAGACCAACCCTGTTCCCTGCGTGGGCCCCTACCCCTTCAGCTGGGCTCCTTCTGGTTCCCTCACTAGGTGCATTTTGCTCAAATCTGCTTGCAGAGAACTCCCCTAACCACCCTCTGCTAACAGGCACCGCCTCACCTCTCTCTAGCCCCTGACGTGGTTTGCTTGTTTTCCAATTATTGTGCAGTATCACTTTAGTTATGATCTGAGGTTCCCTGATAGAACGTTTGGCATTGAATGCCCCATCTTCTTTTCTGGTATAACATACTTGTTTAATAAGTATTTGTGGACTGGGCCCAGCATGATGACTCAATGGCTAAATGTTCCCCTTGCAACTGCCAGAATCCCATATAGGTGCTGATTCATATCCAGGCTGCCCGCTTCCCATCCAGCTCCCTGATTGTGGCCTGGAAACAGCAAAGATGGCTCAAAGCCTTGGGACCCTGCACCCATGTAGGAGACCTGTAAGAAGCTCTCAGCTCCTGGCTTCAGACTGGCTCAGTTCCGGCTGTTGGGGTCATTTGGGGAGTAAACCAGCAGATGGAGGATCTTTCTCTGTGTCTCTCCTTCTCTCTGTAAATCTGATCTGCCTTTGTAATAAAAAAAAAATGAAATCTTTAAAAATAAGCATTTGTGACTGAAGGCAGACACATTTTAACAGTAGTATGCAGAGATGTGCTCATAATATAATAATTTCCCTCATAATCTAGATTCTACAGCTATTTCACTCACATGATTATAGTCTTGTATCTTACTATCTTTTTAAAAATTAAAATCCTAGTACATGCACTTTAGTACTATTACATATTTTATATAAGTATACAAGTCACTATATAGCTTATCAAGGCAAGCTAAGTCACACCTCTGCCAATTTCATGGAACTCTATGGGATGTTCATGAGTGACTTTTCTCAGTTCAATTATAATGCTTTCATGCATCTTGGATGCTCCAAGATCCTGTCTGGTGAGTACCACATTACAAGTTCTTCATAGACTGAGAGCATGGATCGTGGAACAGGAGACTTCAGTGGCCAGCTAGTTAAACTCGAGTCCAGTCACTCATTCCGGGTGATGGAGGCCCAGAGCCCAGGAGACTTTGCTGAGGAATAGACCTGGGCTCTGCCTTCAGCCCTTTGCAGGCTACACACCCCTCAGCTCAGGAACCCCCTAAACTATGGAGTGGCCCAGGGGTCGAGGCCCTGGTCACTGTCAGGCACTCTGAGGACCACCATCTCCCCAAGGGGCACCTATCTGCGGGAATTTCGAAAGCAACAGGAGGCCTGGGCCAGGGTCTCCACGGGTTACCTATGCGGTGCGCCGAATCCTCCTCTCCAGACCCTCAAGGAACCCGGTCTCAACCGAAACTGCCTCCTACCTGGTCGGGTGCAGGCGGCTGAAACTGGCCCGCCCAACCTCCCCGTCGCTATGGTAACCACAAGCCGCGCTTCTCCAGTCCGCCTCCCCGGTAACTCTAGCCAATGATGGCCTCGGTTTCTTTAGCGTGAAAACATATTGGCCAATCGATAGAGGCGTTTCAAAAATCCGCAGGGAAGCGGCCAGAATTTTAGCGTGGGGAATAGTTCATTACGTAGGGTTTCGGGGGGAACCAATAGGGACTTACCTAAAGCGATCGTCACAAATCTTGAGCTAGACCAAAGGCCATAAAATTCTGCTCAGTCGAAAGTCCTGCCTCAAGGAATAAGTCCAACGAAATTAACTTTCACCCCAGCTCCGCGGAAAGGAGCAAAAATAAGAAATTCGGGCTGTTACGGGGGCAGCGGTCAGTCGCTCCTGGTTCGCGTCAGAGCAGTCACAGGAATGGCCGCTCCCAGGCTGAAAGCGCCCCCGAGGTCTCGCCTTTAAACCCAGGGAGTCCCTAAACGTCCTGTTGTTAGATGCTGTCCGGGAGTGCGGTTCCTGCCGCCCGCCCTCGGGCCGACCTTCTGTCCCCGGGCCAGAACCCACTCCTGGCTCGTCCTTGTCGCCCAGGGCTCCGTCCAAAGCCACACGAGCTCCGGGTCTCCCGTGGGGGTCGCGGTGAGGCCGAGGGGCATGAGGACGTGAGGTGATGAACAGCTGGACGGCACCAGGCTCGGCGTCCGAGCCTCAGGGTGGCCGGGCCTCGGGCGCACCCGGCCGACAGGTGTCAGGGAGCTCGGGGCAGTACAGCCGGCCTCCTCCCGGGGGCCATGGGGGGATCTAGGTCTTGAGGACGGGTGGAATTTCCTAAGTGATGGGAGAGGGCTTGTGGGAGAGCGGGAGGTGACTATGAGGAGAACAGGGAGGACACCTGGTAGGTGGCTCAAGCGAGCCCACCTGTCGAGCAGGTGATGGAGCGCAAACACCTGAGCTCTCCCGAATGGCGGGAGAACACGGTCGAAGGTCGTTCCCACGTTTTCCTCTCGGCCGCTAGAGGGGATCCCGCCAGGTGAACGTCAAACTCTAACCCCAGGGCTCTCACCGCTACGCTTCAAGCAAGCTTTAGCAGGGCGGTCTCCCGACCGGGGGATGTCCCGCCCATCTCCTTCTCGGAGCCACTCTCCTGCGCTAAAACCCTGCCAGTTTTTGACTGGCGGGCAACCTGGCAAATCAAATCGCGGCTCTTGCAAGCAAAACACTACAGCAGCCTGGCGAAGCCCCGAGTTCGGAAGGACTTTCAGGAGGCTGTGCCTCCGGGTTGCAAGAAGCGGCCAAGTCGTTTCTCAGAAATCTCTGATAGGCGGACCTGAGAGGAAACGCCGCAGGTGAGTTCAGACCAAGAAGGGCAGGCGGGCAGGGACACCGGGGCTGTAATTCTGCCTTAGTTCGTTCAAGAAGCATGTGTCTGTGCTTATCTTCACCATCCACCTCATTTCACCACCGTCCCTCTGGCTGTCACCAGCCTTATCAGTCTGGGTCCCAGTGCCTCGATTCCATTTTTGCATCTCAGGGCACGAGCAGACCAGTAAAGACGACGCCCAGCTGTCCCGAATCAGGAAGTGACATGTACTTGGCCAGCCTGTCTCCTGGGCACGTCGCCTCCGGGCGCTCTGGCAGGAGCAGATGGTGGGGCCAGCAGGTGGATGAGGGCTGGCGCTGGTTTACAAGATGCCGGCCGGCCGCTGGAAACGAGGTGCTGTCTCCCAGAGATGTGGACTTTCCAGCTCAGGGAGATAACTCTCAGCAAAGCAGGTGCCACCAACGTTCATCCGCCATGCAGTAGCCGAATCGTCAGGTGGTGGGAGACTGCCTGCTCCACTGATTTTGCTCAGGGACAGCCAAATTCTGATCACCACCCGACTCTCAGCAGCTGTCAGCCAGGGCTAGCTGATGGGTTAAACCTGCTCTGTTTGATGGTGATGTCATTCATTGAGATAAGGGGAGAGGGGAGAGTAGGCACCTACTGAATTCTCTGTTCTTTCTTGGGTCCACTAACCCTGCTAGAGCTCTGGGAAAATGTTCATTCTGGAAGAGAGAAGTCAGGAAAAGAGTCAGCAGGCCTGGTGCCCAAGTCAGCTCGTGTGCCTTATAAGGACGTGCAGCTTGCAAAGCGAGCCTCGAGGCTCAGGGATGCCAGGCCTGGAGGAAAGCTGCTTCTGAAACAGTACATCCAACCATCCCCGCAGAAAAGCTGAGCAGCTAGCCGGCTCACAGGAGGTCAGGAGGCCTGGAGTCCCAGCACCCTTCGCTCTGTCCCCAGGGCCCTCCTGCCTTCTGTGGCATCCTGTGGGCGGGGCTGGGTGTATCTGTTTGTGGTGGCTGTGGAGTGGTAAGTGGTGCTTGATGAGGCCTGAGTAAGGCATTCTTGAGGCCAAGTGCCCTCAACACACCCGGTGTTTAACTGGTTGCTTTTAGTCCATAAGTGGTGCGTACAGAAGTCACTGGGCCAGGCTCGGGCTCCATCTCAGGAGGATACCACTGAACGGGGGATTTGTCTATAAACACCACCCTGCCACTCACCTCTGTAGCCCCTTCACCTCCCCCCAAAATGCCTCTCCCCAAGGGGCTTCTCAGACATAGAGAGCCCAAGGCCGCTCTTCATTTCTAAGACTTGGAGGAGGAAGGCCAAAACGAGGTGCAGAAATGGAACCCAAGGACGCTGCCTGTGTGCACAGCAGGGCAGATTGAGGAAGCAACATCTTACTGCAGGCATAGGAATGGTTCCCCTGTCCGGAAGTTGGGCTGCAGGCTGTGCAGGTGCCTGATGAGCACCTGGAAGGTGAGTGTCATCTTATCAGGGGTCCCCAGCCCAGCCAGTGAGCCCTGAGTCAGCCGGAATGCTGTGGCTGCCTCTGTGGTAGGCCTGCACCTGCTGCCTAGCAGAGTGACGTGTGTGTGTGTGTGTGTGTGTGTGTGTGTGTGTGTGTGTGTGTGTGTGCGCGCGCACACATGTGTATGGGGCCTGAGAGCAGAAGCAACTGGAAATTCCAGAACAAACGAGGGGGTACTTTTTGAGGCCTTTGGCAGGGCCATGCAGAGGCTGTGTCCGTGTAGCAGGCAGTGAGTCCTTGGTGAGCACCTGTTGGATGAATGCATAAGAGAGGGAAAGGACCCTGCCTGGGTGGGATCACTAACTCCACTGGGAGCAGCAAGTGTGTGCCAATAACTGCTGATGCACACGGAGCACTTGCTGTGCCTGCACTCCGCCGCATGCGTCATTTCACCAAGACCTCCCTGTAGCCGTCTGGAATAGCGACGTTATTAATTATATGTTACACCTGAAGAAACTGGCTACCAGTTGCATGTGGCAGATGAAGAACATTTTAGGTTTTAAAATCTATATTGTATCTTTTTAAAAGATTTTATTTTTATTTTGGAAAGGCAGATCAGATTTACAGAGAGGAGAGACAGAAAGATATTCCTGTGTTAATTCACTTCCCAAGTGACCACACTGGTCAGAGCTGAGCCAATCTGAAACCAGGAGCCAGGAGCCTCCTCTGGGTCTCCCACATGAGTGCAGGGGCCCAAGGCTCTGGGTCACCCCTGACTGCTTTCCCAGGCCACAAGCAGGAAGCTGGGTGGGGAATGGAGCAGCTGGGTCATGAACCAGTACTTCTGGGTACTATGAGATCCTGTGAGATCCCAATGCTTGCAAGGTGGGGCATTGTGCTGGGCCCTGGACAAATTTTGAAATGGGGTAGCCGGCCACCTCCATCCCTTCCTCCTCCCTCACTGGGCTCCCCCAGTCACTGAGCTTAACTTTGACTCCGGGGAGGCTGGGAGTTAAGTACCAGTCCATTGGCATCATTGTTAGTTTTCTCTGAGGGAGGCCACATGATTAGCCCATTTTACAGATGAAATGGCTGAGTCTCTGAGAGGCCAGATGAGATCACTGGCCACTCCACTGTAACCTGCTCCACCTCCCGGGACTTTCGAGTGCCAGACTGCTGTTTCTTGTGGGCCGGTTTTCCCATCTTCTATAGATGTGTTTTTTTTGTTCTTGGGTTTTTTTTTTTTTTTTTCTGAGTGAGTTTCCACGTAGTTCCCATCTGATGGGTGCTGGAGGTTTTTGGAGGCCCACAGAAGCAGAAATTGGCAGTATTCAAGAGCAAGTGGACAGAAGGATTTCGACGAGGCTGTGATGGACACCCGGAAGCCACAGGCCAAGAAGAAAGCTTTGGCAGCCAGTGAACCCTGTGTTTCTTAGGGAGCCTAGAGTGACGTTACCCGTTTTACAGTGACCTCCCCTGCCATGGCCCTGGTGTTCAGTTCTGGCAGGGCTGTCTTCTCAGATAGCAAAGCTAGGCTCAAGGTTGCACTGTGCATGCATTGTTAATGTTTTTCTCCACCCTCTAGAGTGCCACAAGAAGCAGAAGGCACACCCCTGCCTGCCTGGGAGACAGAACTTGGAGGAGGAGGCGTGGCAGTGCATCTGCCAGAAGAGTCTAGAGAAACGCTTCCTCGGAAGGAAGAGAGGGTTGACGGAAGGAGCTGAAGCCGCCAGGAGACATGGCCTCGGGCTCCGGCCCAGCTTCACAGCAGCTGTGCTCTCAGTCAGGCGTGTGCCACTAGGACGGCAGCCATGGACGGAGCCCGCGGTGCGGTCCTGCAGGTGCAGCCGCTCCCACCCACCGGCAGTGCTACTCCTGTGAGCGAGGGATCCTTCTCCTACAAGGCAAGGACTTGCTTTTTTTATTTTTTTTCTTACAAGAAAACAACCCAGGGCAGCATTGGCTAACAAATATGACCAGGATTCTGCGTACCTACAGCTGGAACAACCTCCACATAGGTGGAGCAGTGAGTGTGTAACCAAGAGGAAAGAAATGCTCGTTAATATACATTAAAATAGCATTAAGATGAGGAGCAGCTGGGCAGCATTTAGCCTAGTGGTTAAGACACCTGCATCTCACAGTACAGTGCCTGGGTTTGATTCCTGCAGAGCACTCCCCAGGCAGCAGCAGGGTTGGCACAAGGGACTGGCCTCCTGACACTCATGTGGGGGATCTGGATGGAGTGCTAGGCTCTGGGCTTCAGACCCTGCCACTGTGGGCATTTGGGGAGTGAGCCAGCAATGGGGACACAGTGTCTGTCACACACACTCTTTGTTGCTCATTCTCTCAGCCTTTAAAATGAATATATATGATTTATTTTTATATATGATTCAGTTATTTATATATGATATTTTATTTGTTTGAAAGAGTTACAGAAAAAGAGAGAAATCTGTCATCTACCTGTTTGCCCCCACGAATGGCTGCCATGGCTAGATCAGGCCAAAGCCAGACAGTCTTTATTCATATTTTTCTTCTTTCTTTTTATGATGTTACAAAGATGTAAGCACAGGGCATAAGACATTTTGTGTCCTGGCTGTTTCAATGAGCCTGACATGTGGACCTTGAGGAGTGACTGACAGCATGCTTTTCCAATGATTGCCCACTAACTTGGGAGCTTCTGCACCCAGCTTTGCTCAGAAGGTCCCCGATGGGCGGATGTTCAGGTTGTTTCTAGTCTGGAATGACCATGGGAATCTTAGTGTACAGTTCTGATTATTTCTTGAAATATAATCAGAGATGTAATAAATAGATCAAAGGGAATAAAACTTTAAAAAAAACAATTAAGGCATTTGTAACATCAAATTGACTTGTTACTAAATGGCTATCCATGCCCTGAATTTACTTCTTTTCTCTGAGTCAGTCAGACTGATCACATCTCAGAGCTGTAGAAGACCTTAAGAGACATCTCAACAAATCCCTGCATGTTCTGGATTGGGGAAGTGGGACTGAGCAATGAGAGGTGACATACTGAGATCTGGTGGAGAGGCAGAGAGCTGCATTGTTGTAGGTGGCAATCATGGCCATGATCACAATGAGACTGGTGCAGCTTCTGCTCTCGCATGGGTTCTATGCCAAGTTCTTCCCGGGTGTTTTCTCAGGTGTTTCCTGGGTGTTTTAGCGCTGTAAAGTGCCGTTTCCTCCATTCATAAGTGAGATCAGTAATAGGAAAGTGACCCACCAGTGGTGGCCAATGTTGATCAAGTACTTACTGTTACCCTTTTTTTAAAATGCCCATGTTAGAAACAAGGGAAGTGAAATTCAGAGAGGTCATTTAGTGACTTGTTGGTCTGATAAATAAATTATACAACCAGAATTTAAACCCAAATCAGAGGAGCTGTGGATGAAGCTGCCATTTTAATATTTGGCATCCCATATCAAGGATCCACTTCCAATCTAGCTCCCTGCTGATATGCCTGGGAAGGCAACAGGAGATGGTCCAAGTCTTTGGGTCCCTGCTACTCATGTAGGAGACCCAGATGGATTCTCCAACTTCCATCATTTGGGGAGTGAACCATGAGATGGAAGATCTTTATCTCCTCTCTCTGATTCCCTCTCTGTTGCTCAACCTTTCAAATAAGGAAACAAGTAAATCTCTAAAATACAGTAAATAAGTAAACCTCGGTCAGATGGACTGTGGAATGCAAGCTCCTAACCACTGCACTACACTGTCTCCCTCATTTTATGTCTCCTTGTCAGGCCAGGAGGAAACAAAGAGGGATATTAGGCCTAGTTACAGGGCTTTATTCTTTTCTTTCCCCCAGTTGACCAGGCTGAAGTGGTGTGGATGGAGATGGCAGACATTTGTCCATGGCTGGACTCATTCTAGAGCATTGGTTGGCTCTGACAGGCACATCAAATTTTGCTAAGCCACGGGCCACCAGGCAGTTCACATCCATGGTCAGTACAATTCTAGAGCCAATGTGATGTGATTTGCTTGGCGTGTTCACCCTGCTGGATTGGCTTCCCGTGAAAGCCTACAGTTTCCTCCCTGAGGAGCTGCTACTGTTTTGCCAAAGCTGTGATTGGCGATTGTGAGGCCCAGGTCTCTGCCCCAGCTCTGTCGCAACTGGCTGTGTCATCTCAGATCTTGTCCCTTCTCTAGGCCTCAGCCTCCAGCTCTGTGAAGTGGATGGGCAGAACCTATGGACAGTGCCCTTGCGTGGCACCTGAGTGCTTCAGGAAGATATAGATTTCTTGGCCCACTCTCTCTCTCTTTCTCTCATTCTCTCATTCTCTCTCTCTTCCCACCTCTCTCCCTTTTCCCCTCTCTTCTACCTCCTTCCCATCTCCCCAACTTTAATCCCCTGCAAACTCTAGTTTAGCATATCCGGGCTGTCATCTAGAATCTGCATGTTCTAAACCTCTGCAGGTGAGTCAGACCAGGCGCTGGCTAGAGGAACATCTAGAGCAGACAGCCTAAGCTCCTCCTCTCTGCTCCCAACCCTCTCATCCCAACAAGCCAAGAGCCGTAGCCATCACATCTTAGTCATTGCGACTATTCCAACTGAGCAAACAACCCTCCCAAGGGGCCAGCATCACCACTACCATCTTCACAGGTACATTATTCAAACTACAGCAAGGTAGCAAGTCAGAAACCATTTTTTTTATTTCTGTTTTTTTTTTTTCAAGAAAGAAAGATAAATGGTGCATGATACAGGGACAGACACAGAGCTCCTATCTGCTGATCTATTCCCTAATGTTAGCAACAATCAGGATTGAGCTGGGATGAAGCCAGGACCTGGTAACATAATCCATGTCTCCAACCTGGGTGTCAGAGATGCGAGTCCTGGAGCCATCACCCGCTGCTCCCCTGGGTGCGCATGAGCAGGAAGCTGGAACTGGAATCAGAGCTGAGACTGAAACCTAGGCACTCAGACATGGCATTCAGGTGTCCCAAGGGACGTCTTTGCTCCTCTGCCAAATGTCTGCCCCAGGAAACATTTTTCTTAACATTCCTGTTGGATGATAGAAAAGCATACAAATGGATGTGAATTTTAACCGAGAGTTCACCCATGTAACTAGCACCCAAATCAATAGAATCAGCTGGTGCCCCAAAGTCTACTCATGCCCTGTCTCAGCCTCTGCCCTCTCCAAGGCCAAGCCTCCTATTGAGGCAGGTACTATCCTGACTCTGGAGGGTCCTGGGAGCCCCAGGTCAGTCTGGGTGAGCACTCCTCAGGTCTCATATCTTGAGGAAGCTGTGGGGTTTTTGTCTGTGAAGCATCAGGAACATTCCATTCTGCTCTGATGGACCTGTTGTCTGGATTACACCTGGCTGTCAATGTGTAAAGCTGACAGAATAATGACACGGGCACGAGAAGGCCTTGATTCCTTCTGTTTCCAGAAGAAGGTGGTCCCTGTGCCATGTGGAGTCATGTGCATGAGGGAGCAGGCAGAGGCAGTGGGAGTAATGCTTACAGTCAGGTGTGTCTGTCTCCCCTGGAAAAGGGTACGGGGCAGCACAGGGCAGCCAGGATGGGCAGGAGTGATCTAGGAGCACTCCGAGGCCTGGGATTGCCCTTTGCTGTCTGGTCCTGAGCCTGGGCTTGGTCTATGGCAGAAGAAGCTTATATAGGTCTTTTAAATATATATATTTAAAAATACATTTACTTATTTCATTTGAAAGGAAGAATTACAGAGAAAAGGAAAGACACAGAGATATCTTCTATCTGCTGATTTATGCCTCAAATGTCCACAGTGACCAGGGCTGGGACAGTCCAAAGACAGGAGCTTCTTTCAGGTCTCCCACATTGGTGCAGGGTCCAAGCACTTGAGCCATCCTCTGCTGCTTTCCTAAGTCCATAAGCAGGGAGCTGGATTGGAAGTAGAGCTGCTGGGACTCAAACTGGTGCCCATGTGGGATTCAGGTGCTGCAGGTGGAGGCTTAGCCTACTATACCACAGTGCCAGCCCCTTTAAGATCTGTGTATGTGCTTATATGAAAGGCAGAGAAACAGAGAGGGAGAAAGCTTTCAACTGCTGGTTCACTCCCCAGATGGTTAGCACACAGACAGGGCTGGACCAAACCAAAACCAGGAGCTGGGTCTCTTATGCCAATGACAGGAGCCCAAACACTTGAGCTATCTTCTGCTGATTTCCCAGGCCATTAGCAAACAGTTGGATTAGAAGTAGAGCAGGCAGGACATGAGCCTGCACTCAAAAAGGATGGATGCTGGCATTGCAGGATGCCAGATAGAGTCCATGGCTTCAGCCTGATCCAGCTCTGGTTTTGTGGCTTGCTGGACAATGAATCAGCAGGTGAAAAATCTCTCTCTCCTCCTCTCTCTGTAACTCTGACTTTGAAATAAATAAGTAAGTATTTTTTTTTTTTAAAGTTGCTGGTTGGCAGTGAGGGCCCTAGGTGGATTTGGTAGCATCTGGAAGGCATGCATTTTACCATCTCTGAAACATGACCAGCCTGAGAGGGGTGGTCTCATAGCAGACAGTGAGACCCTAAATGACGGAGCATCCGCAATACAGAAAACGAGAGAGCAGCGCTGATAGGATTTGCCCTGCAACGAGGGGGATGCCTGAGGACAAACAGAATCTGCGCAAACTCAGAGCACAGAGGTGTCTCCGACTATCCAGGTGTCCATCATACATTCAGTTCAGTTGCACATGACATAGAGGAGTCTCACACCAGAGCAAGGGTCAGTGCATCACAGTGACTCCACTAACGTGCACAGGAATCCAGACAGGACAAAGGGCACAAGAACAGATGGCTACCGGCTCAGCCGAATCCTGGCTGGGGTCGGGAGAAGCAGACTTGGCTGGAAACCCCCTTCTGCTCCTTGTCTGTGCAGTGACCTTGCACATATGGCTGAACCCCGGAAGTTCCTGTTACC